GTGTCATTTTTGTGCCGGTGCAATTGTTGGTTTTAAAAAGCCTGAGTATTCCTAATTTATGTCTTGAGCTCTTCATTTTCTATAGTTCTTTATGAAGTTGTAATCAAGTAACTGAAATAATCAGGAAGCTGCTTGTGGAAATGATGTGTTTGTCTGTGTATTTGTGTGTCAAAATTCTTTCCCCATACTCCTAGTCTTCCTGCTTATTTAAATTTTCCAATATCCTGTAACAGAAAGGGATGGATTGATTTATCAATTGTCTTACACATTTATCTTTAAAACTTGTGAATTTCAGTCTTAAGTTTAAATTATAATACTTCTGTGGCTGTAGGCCACAAAACTAATGGGGCCACGTTGTCAAAGGGACATGGTCTATAACTGCATTGAGAGGCCAGCTCAGTTGCATTCTAACAAATTTAAAAATGTTCACAATAGTGTTTTTTGCATTATCATAGAAATAAATAAATAAAAGGTACAATGCAGTTTGGAGAGGCTCGTGCCTAATTACTTTGCAATTATATTTTCTGGTGAGTTATTTTAATATGTTAGAGTGCCTCTCATTCACACTGCAGTAGTTACATACTGTCAGGGCTTCCATTATGAGCCTGTAGTTCTTGAGATTTATCATTTTTATTCTGCCATACAAATTGCTAAAGGTTTCAACTAGGCCTAACAAGATCCCAAATCTGGAATACATGATTTATGTTCTGAAATATCCTGAAGCAAGCCATTAGAATTACTCATTTTACAGGACACACACCAAGAGGCAAGCAATAACTTTAGTCTCATCCATGCCTGCCTTCTTTTCTTCAAGTAGCTTATAGGTAATACTATTCTCTCTTCACAATAACCCTGTAAGGCACTTTAAACTGAGAAATAGTGACTGGCACAATGTTAATACATAAGTGCCATCTCTTAGCAGGGATTTAAACCTAGGTTTTGTACTTTCACATTCATCACTGTACTCACTGTGCCACACTGATCTTTGTACTCATGTTCAGGATCTAGCACCATTACAAATGAGAACGGAGAGGGACATTATCAACTGCAGTGAATTGCAACTAGTGAGTTGGAAGTGAGTGACACTGTAGGGGATGAAATAATGTAAAAAAAAAACTATAATTCTCATGACTAATTGGATGATCCTTAGGGTTGGATGATCTTTAGGGTCTCATATTCTACATTTAAAACTGTGCATTTGCAAAGCAATTGTAAAAGGCTTTTAGTTTTTGCTTTACTGGAAAAGATAGCAAGGAATGTTGCTTTTGACAGACAGTTTCAGAGCCAAAGAGATAAAATTGATGGCATGGACTGGGAGTAAAGTAAGGAAACTAAAAAGATAGGACCCATTTAAAGAGTCCAGATGTCGATGAGTAATGCCAAAATAGTTCACACATGGCAAATAGAAGATTAACATGTAATCAGCAAGGGTGGAGATTGAAACTATATGTTGTAACCAATGAAAATGTTGAATTATGCATATGTTAATGTAATTATACGCTAGCTGCATAAGATGATATAGAAGGATGTTGATTAGCTGAGGAAAGGGCTCTCAAGTCATGGGGCT